GAGGCCCCATCCCTGGAGGTGTTCAAAAGATGGGTTGATGTAGTGCTGGGAGGTCTGGTTTAGTGATGATGCTCCTTGTTTGTTGTGTGGGTGTCTATTTTTGTCAAAATTAGGTTGACGGTTGGACAAGATGATCTTTAAGGTCCCTTCCAACCTAGAAGATTCTGTGATTAAAGTGCTTTTTCTTAACTACACATGGGCCCAGCCAAGGCTTTCCAAGATCCACACACCTTCTTGGGCAAGGATGTCACATTTAATCTCCCCCACACATGAAAGCGTTCAGAAAGGCTTCAGAGATGAAACACACTCAGGAGGATTGTGAAATCCAATTATAAACACGGACACACAGAAAGGAGGATAGGAAAGGGCGTTTGGGATTGTGGGACAAATTGTAAAAAGAGCCTGTTTATCATTAAGGAATGTTCTTTTCAGCCAAGATGCTTCAAAACTTGTACATTTTTGGTTTGTCTTTTTGTCCAAAGCAGCTTTTTCTAGCAAAACATCACTTTTCTGGAAAAAAAAGAAAAGCCATACTCGTGTCTTCTCTTTTTCTGAAAAATCACCGATGAGCGCAACGGGGCTGGTCACTGCCAGCAACACCAAATAAACACTTGGTGAGCAACGGGCAATGACCTTAAATACTACTCCTAAATAAATATGCAAACGTTTTCTGGGCAAGGTGACGTATGGGGCTTCCATGGGGTCTTGAGCAACCTGGTCTGGTGGGAGGGGTCCCTGCCCAGGACAGGGGGGCTGAAACATGGTGATCTTTAAGGTCTCTTCCACCCCAAACTGTTCTGTGACTCTGTATGATTGTGTTAAACACATGGGAGAGAGAGTGAACCTTCAGGTAGACAAGTCATAGCTGTAGTTTGCAGTGACTCACCACGTATATAGGCCACGCATATGTTTAAGGTTAAAAAAAACAATCTTCCAGGAGGGATGGAGTCAGCTTAAGGATGGAGTCCATGTTCTGCATAACACAGAGGGGAAACTGGAGGAGCCCTTACTTGTTTGCCTTCTTCCCATCTGTCTGAGACTTCCCATCCACTTCAGACTCGCTGAGATCCTCCGTGGGGCTCTGGGGCTCCGACCTGGGGAACGCCGTCTTCAAAGTGTCCACGATGGCGTTGACAACAATCTGCAAAAGCCAGCAGCACCTTCAATTATTGAATATATTACTATTCCTTTAATACAATTTAAGAGTTTTCAGACTTGTGCTCTATTTTCTGTTATAAATCCCAAGTTTTTTGAGATGGGCTCTGACTTTTCCCAGCTTTATGGCTTTCTGGGCAAGCCGAGCCCAGAGCACAAAGAGCACTCAAGTTTTTGGCTACTCCTGCCAGAAAGTAGTAGACATTGAAGGCCAAATGACTTGTCTAGAGGCAGTTTTAAGTGGTTAAGAAGACCAGTTTCCCCCTTCTCTACCTTGTCTATCCTGGAGACAACGAAGGGCTTCTTAACGAAGGCGATCCTGGCGTCGGTGTTGAGGGCGAGGAACTCCTGCACCTCCTCACTGTTCGCGATCTCCGGGACAGCACACAATTGCTGCAAGGAAAAATGTAGTTTTAGGTCTTTTTTTGAGTCAATTTCCCAGCTTGATCACGTAAAGCTGTCCCGAACACTGCTTTGTAGCTCACAGGAACAAGGATCTCACCTTCAAGAAAGATTCCAGCAGGCTCTTTCTGGCTTCCACTTTATCACTGTCCATGTTTCCAAATGGGAGATCAGGGAAGAGTTTCTTTGGGCCTTTGATATCTACAAAGGAGACAAACCCATGAGCAAACTGGAGAAAAACAGAACAGCTGTTTTAAAATCTCAATGCTCTCATGGTTTAGACTTCCACCACACGCTGTACAACATCAGCCCAAGATAATCCACCCCTCAAACGCGAGTGGCTGAAGCAGAGCTTAAATCCATGCAGAACTGCTGATTTTGTATCATCTGTGTCTTTGAAGTTAAAAGAAGGAAGAACACCAGTTTAGCAGAAGGACTCTACATCACTCAAAGAGCCCCAAAATTCCCTTTAGCAGAAGGACTCTACATCACTCAAAGAACCCAAAAATTCTCAACAAAGCACTTTTCCAGCCAAACCCCCAGATCTGTCAAAACCAAAGGATTAAATACAAACGTGCTAAATTCAATGAAGTTTTAGACATAAGTAGCATTAGAAGAAACAGTGTTTTTTTTAAAAAAAGCTTACATTCAACACATATTACTCTACTTTCTTATATGCATCCAGAGCTGCACAGCAGGATAGGATACAGAGAAGAGGATTGGGGTGAGAGGAAGGAGGATACTTCTCTGGAAGCTAATGAAGAAACTGACTTTTCAGGAACTTGCGGAGCTCTGGTTTCTCCTCCAGCCTGGTCTGGAGGTTGAGGAACTCCCGGTAGCGGCGGTTGACGGTGTGGTAAGCCATCTGCTGAAGGCTGCCCGTGGCCTCACCCTCCAGGGCTGTCTCATACTGAGGAGAAAGCAACAGCCAATAATCCTTACAGACCCCAAAACAATCCCAACGTGTTGTGACCCCTGTTGGTCTCACAGTCCCCAAACCCCATGGAGGTCCCATCAAGACTCCTCAGAGTTCCTTCCTGAGGAACAGGGGCTGCACAGATCCCTCGTGATGAAGGGAATGGTGAAAACAGGATACAAAAGACACAACCAGCCCCACACAACCCTTGGCCATGACTGGGAAGCCCTGCCCCACACCCAAACGGCCACTGGAAAAGCCACTGTGTCTGATTGTGTCCAGTTTTGGGCCCCCTACCATAAAAAAGACATCGAGGTGCTGGAGCGGGTCCAGAGAAGGGTGACAAAGATGGTGAGGGGTCTGGAGCACAAGTCTTATGAGGAGAGGCTGAGGGAGCTGGGGGTGTTCAGCCTGGAGAAGAGGAGGCTGAGGGGAGACCTTCTTGCTCTCTCCAACTCCCTGAAAGGAGGGTGTAGAGAGGTGGGGGTCGGTCTCTTTTCTCAAGTCACAGGCGACAGGACGAGAGGAAATGGCCTCAAGTTGCCCCAGGGGAGGTTCAGGCTGGATATTAGGAACAATTTTTTCCCTGAAAGGGTTCTCAGCCATTGGAATGGGCTGCCCAGGGAGGTGGTTGAGGCCCCATCCCTGGAGGTGTTCAAAAGCCGGGTTGATGTAGTGCTGGGAGGTCTGGTTTAGTGATGATGCTCCTTGTTTGTTGTGTGGGTGTCTATTTTTGTCAGTGAGGTTGACGGTTGGACAAGATGCTCTTTAAGGTCCCTTCCAACCTAGAAGATTCTGTGATATTCCCCCAGTGTCAGAGTAAATTTTTCCTCCAGCCACTCAAATTCTCATCTCCAGACACCAGCCCATGCTCCCCTACCAGGGCAGGGATGCTGGAGAAGGGGTGACCACCGGAGCAGCCCTTACCTTGACGGTGTAGAGGGTGTAGGGGTGGAAGCCAGTCCCGCTGTGCTCTCGGGCAGTGATGGTCCCAGTTATCCGTAGGTTCTGGATGACCACCGGCCCGTCGGGGCTGCTGAGGGGCTCAAAGCTGAAGGTGCTGATGGAAGCCGTTGGGGAGGACGAGAGCAGGGGCAGAGCCTGGCCAGCATCTGGAGGACTTTGTGGTGGGCCTTCTGCTGCCCCCAGATCTTTCCCCAAGCTGGAAGGTCTCTGTGAAGAAGACCTTTTGGGGACAGCTGGGCTTTCCTCTTCCTTCTCAATGGCCGGGTCGATCTGGATGTCAGGGCAGGAGCTCGACGCAAGAGCAGAAGTGGGGAGTGGGCCAGCATCCGTGCTGGTGGTAACACCCTCCTCCAGGTCACCTCCACCATCCTCTGAAGTGGCCAGTCCCTCTAGCACAGTGGAGGTGTCCTGGAGAGGTTCATCAAGGAACTCCCCTGCAGGTGATGGTGCCAGCAGGTCCGTGTCCTGCCCAGCTTCGGGTGCAGGGGACTCCAGCTCCAAACCCTCGCAGGGAAAGAGGGAGCCCAGGGCTTGTGGGCGGAGGAAAGGCTCCTCTGCCCGGCACAGCTCGCTTGTGGAGTCCTCTCCCTCCTCGCCAGCAGCTCCTGCCTCTCTCCTGGGCACCTCCATGGCCCTCGGGGAAGGGGGCACCCCGGCAGGGGCAGCGTCAGGCTCTACTGTGAAGGGCAAGGAATCAGGCACCGGGGGTGCAGGGGGAGGCTCTTCAGCCCGGGGCTTTTTGGAGAAAACCCCGATGAGCAGCAAGTTGATCCAGTCAGGGTCGGCCATCTTTTTGATGGCTGGAAGCAGCACGTTACAGGCGACCAGCTCCACCACCACAAAGCGTCCTGTCCTCGTCTCCAGGTGGGGCCAGGGCACCAGCGCCCTCAAAAGCATCTCCACAGCAGCCCTGGCATAGCCCACCTCAGCTGCTGGGCTACGGAGGGCAGGATGAGGCCCTGCCAGCCGGCTGTACTCCTGCCACAGGGTCCGGCCACCCTCTAGGTCACCCCTCAGGACCTCCAGGGCCTGCAGGTAGCTCTGCAAGTGGTGGCCGCAGAGGAGGAGGAGGCGGCGAGCAAGGGCTTGACGGTCCACTCGGCCCATCCGCCGCCTCAGCTCGGTGGCCAGGCCCATCATGGCCTTCTCCACCTCGGCCTCGAAGGCCGGCTCGCTGCTGACGGTGCGGTACCAGGAGGCCACAAAGTCCCTCACCACTTTGCGAACGGTGCCGGCGATCTCCTTCTCCAGCCTCTCCTCCGCCGCCGGGCAGTGAGGCAGGGGCTTCAAGGAGCTGACAAAACGCTCCAGCCTCAGCCTCCGGCCAGGGGGGATAAAGGCACGGGGGCCCAACCAGCCCCCCAGCGCCGCCAGCACCCCACAGAGCAGCCCCAGGGCCCGCAGGTCAAGCAACAACTGCAGGGCCAGCAGCCAGCCCAGGGTGGCCACCAGCACCAAGAGGGCCTGATGGAGCCTTGATGGGCTCTGGCCTGGCATGGTGGGGCTGGGCAAGGAGGGCCACCTCAGGGCTCTGCTGGCTGCTGCCTCAATGGGTGCCACAGGACAACAGGGTTTGTCAAGGCTCAAGCGAGCAGGCACCACATCAGGGCTTCTCAGGGCTCAACCAAGCAGTGTCCTTACTGGGCACCAGGTAGGAACTCACTGAGCTCCTCACCAGGCACTAGGGCTCACTAGGGCCCAACCAGCCAGGGGCCTTCACCAAAAACCAGGGCCAAACCAACCAAGCTCCTCACCAAACAACTGGGCTCCTTACTGGGCCTGGGGCTCGTTAAAGCCCAACCAGCCAGGCCCCTCACCGTGCACTGGGACTCACAGGAACCCAAGAGACCAGAGGGGTTCACCAAACACTGGAGCTCAAACAATCCCCTCAACAAGCACCATGCCCCACAGATGGAACTCCTCAGCAGGCACCAGAGCTCACCAGAACCCAAGCCACCAGGCTCCTCAGAGCTCAACCAGCCAGGCCCCTCACTGTGCACTGGGACTCACTGGAACCCAAGAGACCAGGGGGGTTCACCAAACACTGGAGCTCAAACAAGCAGGCCCCTCAACAAACACCGGGGCCCGACAGGACTTCTCAGCAGGCACCAGAGCTCACCATGGCCCAAAAAACCCGTCTCCTCACCGGACCCCCTAGAAACTAGAGGCCTTCACCAGACACCGGAGCTCAAGCAACCAGGCCCCTCAGCGAGCACCAAGGCCCAACAGACGGGACTCCTCAGCAGGCACCAGAGCTCACCAGAGCCCAAACAACCGAGCCCCTCAACGAGCACCAAGGTCCAACAAAAAGGGCTTCTCAACAGCTACCGGAGCCCACCAGGCCCCAACCCACCGGGCTCCTCGCAGGACCTGCGGCTCGCACCCGACCCGGGGCCCTTCACAAGCTACAGAGCTCAATCACCCCGGACGCCTCAACAGAACAACTCTATAAACGCTAAAAGCTCACGTTCCGCCGGAACAGAGAACCGTACGCAGCCCGGCAGAGACACAGCAAAGCCCAAACTCACCGCCCCGGGGGATGCTAAGAGCCAGCACCGGCCGCCATTTCCGCCGCAACTTCCGGTCCCTCCCCTCGCCGGGCGGAGCGCCCCCCGCCGCCTCCGCCGCCCCACAGCGCCCCCCTGCGGGCGGGAGGTCCGACGGCAGAAATTGTCTTTTTCCCCACGTGGAAAAAAGTTTCCCCTTGTGTTTGGTTTTTTTTTTTTCCTGGTTTTGCACTTTTTCTAGGGGAAGTTTTTGCTGGTTTCGTTTTGTTTTTTTTTCGTTTCTATTGGAACAAACGTGCAGCCTTGTGCTGGGTCTGTCTCACGGCTGGTAAGAGCGACACAAGTTTATTGCAATGCACCAGCCTATTTCTTTTTGTTATTTCTGCTCTTTTTGTGCACTGAAAAAAGCAGTTTCTTATGCACGCGTTAAAAAAGGGGAAAAGCTTTGCATTTTTCTCCTCTTTAAACAAAAAGCAAAGAGCCTAGGGGCAGCTCTGCTGCATTCCAGGTGCTGAGCGCCCTGGAAATCCCCTAGGCCTCAGCCTCCTCGAGCATGGCTAAAAATGGGAAAAAACAAGAAAAAAAAAAAGGTGTTGGGGTTAAACAGGGGTGGGATGAGCGGCCACACCCTGCAATCAGGACTTAATTGGTGATGCCGCTCACCTGTGGGGAGGTGTGGACACAAATTGGGCTGGGGGGAGCAGCAGCCATTTTGTCTTTCTCTGTGGACGTGGAGGGTTCCTCCTCAGAGTTTTGGGGTCGTTTTTCAGGAGTTTGGAGTGAAATATTTTATGGACTTAAAAAAATGCACCTGGACTTTCATTCTTTGCAGCTAAGGAGGTGCAGACCCCTCGGGAAAGCTCTATTTTCCCTCTACAAGGAGTTCTTTGGAGCTACTCATGGAGCTGCTGAAGGAAGAGGAGGCCCAGGCCGGTGGGAAGGACGAGGTCTTGCTGCGAAAAGGTCAGAGCAATTTTAAAAATTCTTTGGAAACTGTGTCGGGAGAGGGGTCCCTTCTCCATAATCCTTGCCCTTCCTGGCCGTGTCCCATTTGGGAGGGTGGCATCGCAAGTTTTGTTGGATGTTGTTGATGCGTTGATGGTGTTTTGTGGCCTTTGGTTAATTATCAAGTATTGTTTGGGACCATGGACCTTCTCGGCTGCAGCAAAGCTTGTTGGTGTTTTTCTCTTTCTCCTTCGTATGCCTTTTTGTGTGTAAAGAGCAAAAAAAGTTAATAACCAGGAGGAAAAGGGTGGTCCCGTGTGTGGGAGCTGCTTTTGGGTGGGATTTGGGTGCTGTAGGTGGCTGGAGTGGGAACTGTGGGGGGAACATCGCTTCTCTTGGCTGGGGAATTGTGCAATATTGTAAAAATTATCCCAAATACATCAGTTTTGAGAATGTATTTTAGTTGTGTGTGGTATTACAGGAAGATAGAGTAGCAAAAAACTTTTGGAAAAAGTTTTAAAGGGGCTCTTTGCAGCTTGGATCCTCTGGGAGGCAGAGGTCCGATGTATTCCTGCTTTATCCTTGGTATTTTTGCATGTTCAGGGGTGTTTCTGGGTACTGGAGCTGCTTCCATGCAGGGTTGGGCTGTTCCCCTTATTCCTTGGGTGCTTTTGTCCCCATTTCAGTGCAACCTGGTGTAAATACTTCTGTTTGATGAGTGCGTTACTAATTAGTACTAAGTGTTAGATAGGTTGAATAAAACATGAAGCAGGTCTGATTTTTTGCGCAACGTGGGTCTTGCAAACCATTGCATGCTCTAAAATTCATCTATGCAAGGGAGAGCTTGAGCTTTTGGGGTGAAAAAATGGTTCTTCAGCCTGATCTCTGCTCCAGCATTGAGCCTCTGAGAGGTTTCTAACCTCCTTCTCTCCTGTTGGAGTGCTCCATGCTCATGACATTGCTCTTAAAGCCTTGTGCCTCAGTTTCCCTCGTGTCTCCAGCCCTCGCCATCTGCTCTGGTTCCCCTTCCCTCTTCAAGAATTTTTTTTTTTTGAGAGGAGTTTTTGTGATTAAAAAAGGAGATTGCTTTATAACAGGTAAAATCTAGAAATCTGGTAGTTTTTTTAATAATGGAGAAATGCAGAAGGGAGTGTGTGGCCCAAGGTGTTGGGAGGTGAGATGCTGTGTCCAAACCAGCTCCTGCCAACCCTTGGGGATGGGGTTCTCCTCAAGGGCTGGGATTTGGGGCTAAATTCCCCTGCCTGAGGTGTTTAGCCTTTCTGCACCACCTGGCTTGGTTCTGATCATGTATTTTCCTACTTGCAAGCAGGGGAGTGGGACAGGGAAGAATTTCTGGGGTCCTTAAATATTTAAGTTTCCCGGAGTTCCTCCTAGCAGGAAAAATAACTACAATTTCCCATTTTGATGAGAGTTTAAAATGTGGGAAATAACTTCAAGTGTGGTTCCTCTCCTTGCAATCCTGATGCAAAAAAGGGGATGGTGTGGTAAGGTGCTGCCAGAGCAGGTAGTTTTATCCCAAGTTTGCTATCCACCCCTCTTTTTCACCCCCCCAAAAAATCAGAAAGAGCTTGGTTAGATGGGTGGGGAAGGTGGGTCAGGTAAATCCCATCCTTGATCATTCCCTGTAGTAAAACTGGGGTTGCTGTGCTTTTTTGGGGGGGTGAATATCTTACAAGCACAGCATCACGAGGCTTCAGCAGCTGAATCTGCCTAAATATCTGCAAATAAAGGGATTTGTTCTTTAAATTAGGTGCTGGCAGGTCAAGCTTGGAAGATGTAGACACCCGACTCTTCTTCTGTGGGCTTGGAGGGGGGAAGTGTGGAGCTGTTGGGATGATTTTCATGACCTGAGCTGCACAGCATCCCCAGCACAGCCCTGGAATGGTGGATAGAAGGTCCTTTAGGTGCTTATGGTGTTTTGAAGGTCTTACAGAGCCTTCCCCCAGCTGTGTCCCTCCTTGCCTGGGCATTAGAGCGGGCTGGCTCCTTACATCTGATCTTGTGGGTGTTTTTCTTCTCGTTTCCCACCTCTTTGGGAAACAGGGTTATTAATATGGGGACAGTCTGTACAGTGTCTGGAACGAAAAGACCGTGGTGGGACCCTAGTTGCTATAGAAATGTTGTCGTTTGGAAGGTCCTTTGCCTCCTACGTGAGGCTTTAAGTGAACAAACAAGCGTGGTGCTGCTTTTCCACCATGCTCTGCTGGCTTGGAGCTCTTCAGCCTGGAGAAGAGGAGGCTGAGGGGAGACCTTCTTGCTCTCTCCAACTCCCTGAAAGGAGGGTGTAGAGAGGTGGGGGTCGGTCTCTTTTCTCAAGTCACAGGCGACAGGACGAGAGGAAATGGCCTCAAGTTGCCCCAGGGGAGGTTCAGGCTGGATATTAGGAACAATTTTTTCCCTGAAAGGGTTCTCAGCCATTGGAATGGGCTGCCCAGGGAGGTGGTTGAGGCCCCATCCCTGGAGGTGTTCAAAAGCCGGGTTGATGTAGTGCTGGGAGGTCTGGTTTAGTGATGATGCTCCTTGTTTGTTGTGTGGGTGTCTATTTTTGTCAGTGAGGTTGACGGTTGGACAAGATGCTCTTTAAGGTCCCTTCCAACCTAGAAGATTCTGTGATATTCCCCCAGTGTCAGAGTAAATTTTTTGTCCAGCCACTCAAATTCTCATCTCCAGACACCAGCCCATGCTCCCCTACCAGGGCAGGGATGCTGGAGAAGGGGTGACCACCGGAGCAGCCCTTACCTTGACGGTGTAGAGGGTGTAGGGGTGGAAGCCAGTCCCGCTGTGCTCTCGGGCAGTGATGGTCCCAGTTATCCGTAGGTTCTGGATGACCACCGGCCCGTCGGGGCTGCTGAGGGGCTCAAAGCTGAAGGTGCTGATGGAAGCCGTTGGGGAGGACGAGAGCAGGGGCAGAGCCTGGCCAGCATCTGGAGGACTTTGTGGTGGGCCTTCTGCTGCCCCCAGGTCTTTCCCCAAGCTGGAAGGTCTCTGTGAAGAAGACCTTTTGGGGACAGCTGGGCTTTCCTCTTCCTTCTCAATGGCCGGGTCGATCTGGATGTCAGGGCAGGAGCTCGACACAAGAGCAGAAGTGGGGAGTGGGCCAGCATCCATGCTGGTGGTAACACCCTCCTCCAGGTCACCTCCACCATCCTCTGAAGTGGCCAGTCCCTCTAGCACAGTGGAGGTGTCCTGGAGAGGTTCATCAAGGAACTCCCCTGCAGGTGATGGTGCCAGCAGGTCCGTGTCCTGGCCGGCTTCGGGAGCTGGGGACTCCAGCTCCAAACCCTCGCAGGGAAAGAGGGAGCCCAGGGCTTGTGGGCGGAGGAAAGGCTCCTCTGTCCTGCACAGCTCGCTTGTGGAGTCCTCTCCCTCCTCGCCACCAGCCCCTGCCTCCCTCCTGGGCACCTCCACGGCCCTCGGGGAAGGGGGCACCCCGGCAGGGGCAGCGTCAGGCTCTACTGTGAAGGGCAAGGAGTCAGGCACCGGGGGTGCAGGGGGAGGCTCTTCAGCCCGGGGCTTTTTGGAGAAAACCCCGATGAGCAGCAAGTTGATCCAGTCAGGGTCGGCCATCTTTTTGATGGCTGGAAGCAGCACGTTACAGGCGACCAGCTCCACCACCACAAAGCGTCCTGTCCTCGTCTCCAGATGGGGCCAGGGCACCAGCGCCCTCAAAAGCATCTCCACAGCAGCCCTGGCATAGCCCACCTCAGCTGCCGGGCTACGGAGGGCAGGATGAGGCCCTGCCAGCCGGCTGTACTCCTGCCACAGGGTCCGGCCACCCTCTAGGTCACCCCTCAGGACCTCCAGGGCCTGCAGGTAGCTCTGCAAGTGGTGGCCGCAGAGGAGGAGGAGGCGGCGAGCAAGGGCTTGACGGTCCACTCGGCCCATCCGCCGCCTCAGCTCGGTGGCCAGGCCCATCATGGCCTTCTCCACCTCGGCCTCGAAGGCCGGCTCGCTGCTGACGGTGCGGTACCAGGAGGCCACAAAGTCCCTCACCACTTTGCGAACGGTGCCGGCGATCTCCTTCTCCAGCCTCTCCTCCGCCGCCGGGCAGTGAGGCAGGGGCTTCAAGGAGCTGACAAAACGCTCCAGCCTCAGCCTCCGG